GGGGGGGGGGCGTGGGAAGAGTGGGTCAAAATGTTTTTGAAGCAGAGGATAACCGGCTGCTGATGTGGCAGCAGCAGGGAAAACAAAACAGGTGTGTCAGCTTTACGCAATGCAAGCGTTGCTGCGATCCCACAAACCAAACACACACACCCACCCGCCCGCAGGCTCAGACCCTCATCCCAAAGCTGCTCTCACCAGAAGTGGGTGTACATGAGCGCGCGCACGCCCTTGGATCGCAGGAACGCCCGCCATGGGATGCTCCCTGACAACGGGCCTGCCGCATGTCCGCCATGGCTGTCTGCGTGCACCTCCTCCTCCGCTGGCAGCGCTGCGGCCGCAGTGCCTTCCGCTGGCGCCAGCAGCCGGTTGTAGGTCAGCGCAGCAGCGGTCTCTGGGTCGTCCCGCTGCAGGCTGGCCATCAGCCACTCAAACCAGGTGGTCCACGCCAGCCCCGCAGCGCCAAACGCGATGAACACCGAGGGCCAGCCAAATGTGCTGATGATCCACGGCGCAGCGAGGAGGCCTGCTATGCTGCCGAAGTGCAGGCCGGCGAACACAAAAGACACGGCTCGCGAGCGCTCCTCCGGAGGAACGATGCGTGCCACCATGTCGGTGGCAGCGCTGGGCGCCACCGCCTCGCCGAGCCCGACGAGCGACCGCGAAAGGCAGAGGCCGGGGACGGTGGCCGCCAGGTAGGGCACAGCAACGGTAGCGGCCGACCACATAGCGACGCCTGCCGGCAGCGTGCGGCGGCCACCGAAGCGGCTGGTGAGGTAGCCGCCTGGCAGCTGGCTGAGGATGTAGCCCCAGAAGAAGGACGACTGCACCAGGCCCGCCACCGAGGGACTCCAGCCAAAGTCCTGAGCCATGGGGATGATGGCCACACTCATGTTCACCTTGTCCTGGTGAGGGTGATAGTGGGCCGGAGGGACAGGGAAGGGGGTGACGAGGCGCGTTGGTGGTGGGTGAGCGTTGGTGGTGAGCGAGCTGCCCAGCAATCCTGGGGGTGATGCGACCCAGGTCCGTGCAAAAGGTTTGCCACTGTGACGGCCACGTGATGGGTACGAAACAAGGAAGCAGGTGACAACTGCGATAGCACAAAGCGGAAGCAGTTGCTACGGCCATGACACGCCAGAAATGATGCCCAGGGTCACCAGAAACATCCCACACCCCACCACGGAATAGGTTGGCAGTGGTTTCACACCAACAAACGCACACAGGCCGCGGAATTGTCATCTTCAGTCCTGGCTAGGGCCTACACAGCGCACGCTTGGGCACCGCTGCCAACCCTGCTGACATCCAGTCCGTCGCCATGCTGTCACACCACTGATGTGCTGGCGTTGCGCATGCATGCACCCCTGCTACACTGCCCACACCATGCTGCGGGCCATCCACCTAAGCCCAAGAACAAAATTCGTGATAAGAATTTGGCACCCACCATATTGCAGATGACGAATGACATGAAGCCGCCGAGAAGCACCTTGTAGCGAGACGGCAGCGCATCCCACCACGACGCATCCCGCGCGTCTCCAGCAACGCCGGCGACATCACCAGCCACCGGCGCGTCTTGGGGTGCGGTAAGCTGCTTGGCGAAGCCTAACCGCGCAAGCGTCAGTGTCCGCGCGCCGCCATTGGGCTGTGCCGCCGCTGGTGCCGCATTGCTGTCGCTGCCTGCCTGTTGGCGGCGCTGCTGCGCATGGGGGATGCACTGCGCCCGCCGTGCCGCCCGCCTCGGCCCCCGCGCGAGCGAGTGGCCCGAGGCAAGCTTGTGATGCAGCATGTTGAACACTGCGCCGTGTCCTCGACGTGAGAGCGAGCCTGGAACCTGCCCGTGCCAGCTAACGCGGGTCTAGCTACCTCTGCCGGTCCTTGCCAAAATTACCGCTTCAAGACCTCGCAGTAGGATGTTTGATGCAAGCGGTGCAGCGCGAGCCTTGCACGATCGCAGGTCGCTGAGCTGGGTCAGACAGGATGCAAGGGAGCAGAGAGCGATAAGAAATAGTGAACGACTTGGTAATCGCAGCTGTTTGCATTGGACGCTCTTGTTTTCGGACAGCTGCCTGTGGTGCCCGTCTTAGCCACTACCGTCAGACCTGGTGACCGAAGCAGTTTTGCGCCCGCAAGCGGCTGTTAGCGCCACACTGCGAACCAAATATGAGCAAGTAAGTCGAAACATCCTTGACGGCCGCGCCAGCCCAATCCAAGCTGCAGCAGCTTGGATTGCCCTGCAGAAGTGTGTCCGTGATCCCAAGGAAGGGAATCGGATGCACCAGGAGGGAGAGAGGAACCCGCGCTCCCGCGGGTCAAAAACATGATTGCCCGCAGTGTGCGTCCAAGCGTCCTCAAACAGCGCCCCTCAATGGACCCTGCACACTGTAAGCCACCGTCCACCGCTGCACATTGGCCGGGCTGCGACGTAGTAGGGGCCCCTTTCTCCCCCTTTCCTTGAGAAAGCGAGACTTCTGGCTTTCTTATCAGTTTTGCTACAAGCAAGTGCTGTTGACCTTGAGCCCTGTCGCCCAGCTTGCTTGGTTCCCAAACCCCTTTGACTCATTGACCAGAACTTATCCTGGTCTTAATGACTCATTTACTGTACATCACATCTAGCGCCGCACACAGTTTCTTGTTTCATGATAATAAAACTGCTGTGGTGTGTATCCTGGGACAAACAACAGCGGTTTTGATGGGTTGACACCATGCGGCTTCTGCAGCTGGCCCCTGTTGGCTGTGGCATGAGGAGGCCCTGATCCGTCGACTGCTTGGAGCTGCAGCGTGAGCCGCCGCATCTATATGCCATCCCAACTGTTCCCGGCAAATCGCCTTACCAAGAAGGACTGTATGGGCCCACTTTTACAGTGGCTGCAGCATCGCTCCCGCACCAAAGGCGGGCGTGTGACGAATTGCCATCCTGCCAGCTCAACAAGAGACCACCCGCGCGAGGCATGGCCTCTCAAAAAAATGATGTTTTGGCTGTGCGTACGTGCGCGCATGGCCTGAAAACATGCCGCTGAACCCCATTTTCAGTATGCGTGCGTTGCATCGCGCAAGGCAAGCCCCCTCTGCTGCCGTCTCTGCCTCGCTCTTTTGCTGCCCTCTCGGCGCTCAGGTCACCAGAATCAATCCTCCAGGGAAAAGGGCTGGTAGCCCGACTTGTCATCCCCCTCGGCCGCCAAGGCCAGCTTGACGGCCTTGGCATCGGGAAGCAGGGCTTCCACTGTGCGCTGCTCAAACTCAACGCTGCCTGCAGCCTTGCACGCAATAGCGTTGGGGAACGCATGGCAGACCTTCGCGGCGGTGGCAGCACGGGTGTTGTCGCCAAGGAGAGAGGAGACCATGGCATGCTGCGCGGCGAAGCACTCAGAGCCATCAGGGTCCCACGCGCACTCCGAGTGCTCAGTGCAGGTACGCGCGTCCGTGGCGGCCAAGCAGCGCTGCATCAGCTTGAAAGGCTCCTGTTCGCAGGCGCCATACACTGTGCAGCAGCAGCGGGGGTGGAGGGGGCGCAACGTGTTTATTCTCTGTTCAGACTCTGGTCAGGCCCAGTGATTCTCCTCACTGTGCCGGGCTGTCCAGTGTCAACGCACAAGCTCGCTCAGCACGACTTTTTGAGGATCATGCACTGTGTTCCCTGCTTGAGGGGTCCGGGGCCCCATCATTTGGACTCCTGCCACCTCTCTGTTTGCTGCTATGTGCTCACAAACGCTCTCGAGCGTGTGTGCACATATACACACGCACCCACAGACACATGCGCACACACGCATACACGCGCACCCACACACAACGTCACATGTCGTGAGCAACAACGCATTACACCTCCTGATCCGTCCCCACAATCTTTGTCCCTCACCGTCCTCCTCCTGCTCATCAATGCGCCCGATCAGCTTCTCCAGCTCCTTCACTTTGTTCGCCTTGGCAAGCTCAGCCAGCTTCGCCGGCTGGCAGCCCGCGAGCGCCTTCTCAAAGGGTCCCATGACGATCTCCTCGTAGTTGTCAGCACTGGTGTTGTGGCGCATCATGGGCGACACCGCCACGGACAGCTTCCGGCGCACAAAGCGCTTGCGGGCCCCTGCCTCGGTCCTGCCCTCACTCACGGGGATGTTCTCTGGGGTCAGCCTGGGGTCCAGGGAGGGGAAGGCACGGAGTGCAATCAGTGTTTTATGCTTATATTGATATGCATGCGGGTGTGTTGTAGTACACAGAAGCGCGGACTTGCATAGTCTGGCTCCTGATGCCTTGTTTCCAGCTGGTGCTGGCCGTCCAAAGGGCCGCTGTCTGGGGAGGCTGCTTAGGCCCGGGTCCCCATGCTCACCAGCCACACTCGGGCTTGGCATTGCAGGCGTCGGCAAACTTGATGGCGTTGCAGGGAGCGAGGGTGGCAGACAGCGACCCCGGGCACCCGGTGATGGTTGTCATGTCTGACAACACGCCATTCAGTTTTTCCAGGTTGGCGCTGCACTTGGGGTACTGCAGTTGAGTGTGCGCATGCATCTGTGGTAAGCTGGCAGGGTTGAGGCCTTCGGTGGCGCAGTGCACGCTGCTGGTTGTTGCACCTGGAGGAGCGTGGCGCTGGGTTTACGCATACCCTGTGGTCTTGTCACAATCCCAGGCAATTAGTAGCATGGACTGCCAGCTCTCCCTGTGCGGGCTGCGTCTGCCCGCACCGTCTTGGTGTCCCAGAGGCAAAACAGTGCGTCCTCGCAGCCCTTCTTGTCAGCCCTGGCGTGGCAGGCGGCCTCCAAGGCGTACACATGCAGCATGCCCTCGCCCTGGGGGCTGGCGGGCCGCAGGTTGTCCATCACGGACAAGAGGTGGCCTGGGAAGAGGAGCGAACAACGGCATTTTTTTGCGCAGTGGCGCAGTGGTGAGGGTTGTTGCGCGTGTCAAGGCTGCCAGGGAAACTGATGACGCAACTGCACCTGAGCGTGGGCTTGCAGCTGAGCCATGGGTGGATTCTGTGGCACCTTTTTCCTGTCATGCTGCCGCAGCTCACCCGGGGAAGCATTGCATGTGCCAACAGCCCAGATGCACTTGGGCACGGGCGCTGCTGCTGCAGTGGCAGCCAGGACAGCCAGGACAGCCAGGGCCAGCAGCGCTGGCCTCAGAGCGGTCGCCATCTGCTCGCGACAAGTAGACGATAACCTGTAGATATAGGGTATAGATTCACCGCGTCTGAGTGGTCGCGTTCGCTCTACGCAGCTCTGAGCGCGCTGCTGCAAACCGTCTGAAAAACGGCTGTGTGATCACGGTTCCGCCCTGGCTTTCAACATGCGAACTCAAACTTTATGCAGCTATATCATACTGTTCGACATCGATCACGTCCGCCTAATTGATCACCTTCGTCCGCGGCCCAGCTGACCACTCTCGCTACAGCAAACCGCGTACGTCGAAAAGACAGTCGCGTGGCAGGCTTATGCAAATCAATCAATTACAACATCTGACCCAGTGGGCCTGCCTGAATCGCACGGGTTGAATGCTAGCATCAATGAGTAATGAAAACAGATGGCTCCGGCAGTCAACAGTCTGAGGGCTGCTTGTGAGGGTCCAAGGACCGCGCTGCCAAACCTTTGACACGGCAATGTGTGAAACTGTCAGTCTGGCCAATTTAGCATGTCCATGCAGAGCCGTGTTCTGCAAGTGTTGATAAGCAACCCCCAACCACCCTTGGGCAGGTGTTCAGGCCTCCAATGTCTGTCATGCATACAGGGAAACTTGAGAGGCACGATGATATTGGTTCAAAGTCAGGGGTCCGGCGTTGTAAGCGCTGACTGGGATGACATTGTGAGAGGAGCACTGTGGCGAGCTCACACGTTACAGGCGCGAGCGACAGCCGGGTCTACCACCACACGTGACACAGGCAGCGTCGATCTCCAGCCTCATCGTCGCGCGTGTCGCCGGCCGGCTGCAGCCGCTGCCACCGCCGCAGCCTCCTCATCTTCCGATGAATCGTCCCCAAAAAGCGCGGGCGCTTTTCGTGCCGTCGTCGAACCCGTTGCACTTGCACCTGCACCCGAGTGCGCTCCTGCTGCAGCTTTGGTGCCCACTCCAGTACCTCTGATTGCAGTACCCCTGCCACTGACACTCACACCTGCGGGGCCGACGCGCGTGCCGGCCAGGCCGCGCCCCCGCCCTGTCGCCAAGCCGCCGCTGCCAATCGCCGGCCTGCCTAAGGAAATCTTCATGCCCACGCCGAGAGATATCGGCCCCCCTTGATCAGGCGCCATCAGGGCCGCCAGCGGCGCCTCCTCGCGTGGCAACGGCGGCGCCGCGGCTATGCTGAATTCTGTCTGCTGCTGCTGCTGCTGCTGCCCGCGCTGCTGCTCCTGTTGCAGCTCATGTGGCAGGGGAGGTGGCAAAGGTTCAGGGTCCCCCGGGGGCAGCGGCGGCGCGCTTTGTACGCCGCTGCTGTAAGGGCCAGGGCCAGCCGTGACTGATGTGCCTGGTCGCTGCTGCTGCTGCTGCTGCTGCTGCTGCTGCTGCTGCTGCTGCTGCTGCGCCCGCAAGATCCTATGCGGGTGGGTTGCATAGGTGCTTCGGTTTTTTCGTGCATGTGGAGGCCCGAGCGGGGGTTCACTGGCAGGGAGCTCGCTTCAGTGCACTCCTCACATTTACATGCAGCGCCCGGTAGGCTGCAGGACACCGTGCTGGCCCGCTCCCGCGCCTGCTGGCACGCCCAGAGCCCCTGTCCCCTCAAGGTGCGCTGCTCACTGCTGGTGCAGCTTGGCCGCCTCCTTCTCCTGCCGCCGCTGCTCCTTGCGCTGCCGCTCGTCACGCGTGCGCTCAGCCATAAGCGCACGCGATTCGGCCAGCCGCTTCCTGCAGTGATGGCGGCGGTGTATCGGCCGCAGCGAGCGTGCTTGCAGATGCTGCTGATGGTAGTAACGCAAAGCCCCCACGCTGCCTGAAATGATCGAAGTAAACACTCCCCACCTTCAGCCCAGCAACCACGCACCCATCCAAGAAGGGTTGTTGAACTGTCAGGACCGTACCCCAAACGCTCAAAGATCCGTGCGAGCAAGCATGCGAGTTGCCCCAACTGCGTCTATTGCCCGCAACGCCCCTGTGAAGGCGCACTTGTGGTGGTGGTCGTAGCTACTGAGGTGCTGCTCCAGCTCCATCGCATTGGAATACTGCTTGGAGCACGTCTTTGGAGGTTGGGAGAGGGATGCAGGGACGGGCAATTTTGAATGGCAGGGCTGCGATTTGGTGGCAGGCTTAGGTCTGGTGAGTTGAGAAAGTGCTCAGGAGTTGAGGGGAGCGCACGTACACCCCTCCAGAATGCCCTCGGCGCGGCCACAACCTGTCATCGTACCCTGCTTGAGGTCAGGTTTTGGGCACAGGCAAGCCTCCTCCTCCCCTCCTGCCCTCCTCGCCCCCGACGCCTGCC